CTCTCTCTCTCTCTCTCTCTCTCTCTCTCTCTCTCTCTCTCTCTCCCCTATGTTTATACATACAGTGTGTATGTAATCGAGGGGTAGAAGCGCTGATAAAACTATAATAAGTTTTAAACTGTTTTTTCAGTTATCGTTATTTAACGCCAACTGAGAAATAAAAAGCGCAGCGAAAGCCACACAACAGACCGAGTGTTGCAATACTTCTCACTCTAACCACACATAACAACATGTGATGTAATGGTTATGTAATCAACGCTATCGTCGATTCACTATATAATGGCATACAATTCACGCACACTAAGAGTGGCAACCGATCGCTCATTACTGATTACTAGTCCTTATAGTACTTTACAATAAGCTATGCATTCATACAAACTGTATAAACCATTACCACTATTAATAGTCAATCAATTGCAATGCAAATCTCATTCCCAATACATTTTCGATGCATTTATCGCAAGTTTTGCATAACATATGCGTTACTGTCGTTATTACGTAACCCTTTCTCCCAGTAATGTATCCACATTTACATCGACAGCATATGCCCTCTCTCTGACCCCTCCCCCCGCAAACCCCCCGCCGGCGCAATGGTTACGGTATTAGTGTTTGTATTACTGATTATTTCAATGAAATGATATAATGTTTCAATAATTCCATAAAATTGTAATAAAAGTGCGAAAAATATGCTATAATTTTGGTCTAACTTTCAATTCATTTGTAATCTAATCTCACATTCAATTCAACGCTTATTGCAATTCACTCACAGATGGCTCTCATTATTGGTTTAGTTAAACTATAAATCATTACAACATTATTAGCACATATTGTGTGTACTTATGATTACAACAGTCCTAACAATGCAATAGTAATGCATATAAGGGGGCAAAGGGTGAACACTATTGCACAACATTATAGGGTGTCGTTCATAGATAACGTCATTTATTTAAAGGGGTGGCGATAGTGGCAAACAGTTATTACAGCCATTAATAACATAAGGATCACACGTGTGGCTGACATTAAGGCATCATTCACTAAAGGGTTTGTATGTTTTTGAGGCAATAAATACAGTGAATGCGGCCAAACGTATGGCGCCCTCACGTCTGACACGTCTAAATGTTTTCGCATGTAATGACAATTTGAATGGCATTTAGTGTTTGAATTGTTGTCACAATTAGTAGTGATTTATTAGTGTTAGCGTTGAATGAATTGATTGATTGTCACAATTAGTGGACAGCAATGGACGGCGAGCCGAGAGAGCGAAACACCCGAAACAACGGTCTTCTGTCGCCGCCGAGGAATACGTCGGTGTCGTCGGACTCGTCGTCTGAATCTGATTCGGGCGGTGATTACGTGCCGTACAGTCAAAGGCCCGACTGGTCTGACGTATTGGAGGAGGCGCTGACCACGGATTGCGAGCACCTGTTCTGTCGCCAGTGTATCACCGAATGGCTGTCAGTGAACCGGACGTGTCCTATAGACCGGCTCTACATCACTGCCCGCAACCTGAAGGCCGCCCCACGTGTTGTCCGCAATCTGTTGGGAAAGCTGGACATCCGCTGCGACTTCGCGCCCGACGGCTGCCAAACGGTGGTGGCGTTGGAAGCGCTGGAAAAACACGTCAACGACTGTTACTATAACCCGAAGAAGCGGTTGTGTTGTCAGAAGGGATGCGATAAATGGATGACACGGGAAGAGCTGAAGACACATAACTGTTGGAATGATATCCGCAAAGATATGTTACGACAGGAGCGGGAGATCGTGGACCTGAAGCGGTGGCGAAACGTCCTCTTCTTCGCCATAGCGTTGTTATTGTTGTATATCTTGTGTCCGACTCTACTCTTCAGCTTTTATTTCGAAAATCTCTTCATTTTCGAGTCAAACAAATGATATGACAATACAATCGCTTCAACAGAAATGTTTGCCTTTTTATGCTCTCAAATGAAATGCAAAAGTATTTTGTTTTCACAATAAAAGACATTATAATATATTTTAATGTTTTATATAAGAGTTTTAATCAACGTTTAGTGGATTTATTATTTAATAATAGATCAAATATTTGTATCATTTATTGTATTTCAAAGCCTATATGAAAAGTGTATTTAAAAATTTATAGATAAATATTATACTTATTATTAGTAAAATATGATATGTTTTAATAAAAATGACAATTTATACGATGAAATGTAATGTAATTTTTAAAAATAACAAAACGTTTAATAAAACAAATTCTTAAAATTGTTTTTAACCCTAATATTGAGCAATAGTTAGTATCAGTTTTATTTCTATACAACACTTCAAATACTTGTATTAAATATACAGAATATAACAATCATTATATTTTACATCACTTTATAATCAAAGAAATCAATTACGGTAAATGTCAAACAAAATTGAGAGTAAATCTCAGTAACAAACAAAACAAAAGTCAATTAACTGTTAATACAATCAAACAAAATGTATTTTTCAATAAAATCTGTTTATATCTCAAACGCTTAGTTAAAAATTGTACTTAATTTCAATAGTAATTATATAAATCTCCAGTAATTATATTTTGATATGACATTAAAATCCCGTTTAGGAAAACTGAACGAATCATTGGCTAGTATTGAGATGATATGGTAATGTAATGACAGAGGGGGTCGGGTGTCGCCCATTGTGGGCGCCGGTGGCCGCGGCTGTAATGGTATGCATGGCTGTGCTGTTGTGGGAGTTTGTGCTGTTGTTATTGGTATTGTTGACACTGTTTGTAAAGGTAGGCGACCTCTGGAGCATCAAGAACTTCATGAGTGCTTCGGTGTCGTTGTGCAACATATTGATATGACTCCTAAGCTTCGGCACATCGTTCTGGACGTTCCCACACACCGGACACGTGAACACCGTTTGGCCGCTGAACGAGCGTTTCGTCTGTTGCCATATGAGGCTAAGTATAGTGGCCTCCAGTTTCTCGATCTGTATTTTCGCCAAACAGTTATTCTTCTGGAGTTCGTTCTCTTCGGAGAAGAGTGTCTCCAACTGTTGTTTCTTACGGTTCCTATACTTCGCCGCATGGAATATATTCAACGATCGTTTCTTCTCTTTGCGATAATCGGTGTCCATATCGTTGTTATTGTCGTCTAAGTGTCCGTCGAGAGAAGAGGGCGCTCTCTTCTCGTGGTCGTGAAAGCCATTCATTAAATGCTTATTCTTATTGAGTTGACACTCGTCTACAGAAATGGATCGAAATAGACTCGGATGGGAACCAAAGTGCGGATAACCGTTGGAAACGGGTATTGAACTAATTGGATGGCAATTGTCGGATAAGCCATTCTGTGCTCTATTCATGTCCAATGGTTTGGTTAAGTCGAGTGCATTTCGCTGTTGTATTTGATTCAAAGGAGAAATCGGGAATTTGGGAGGACTTGGTATCCAAACAGAGTTCTTATTGAGCCAATTGTTGGCAAATTCTCGGCTCACATTGTTTTCGTTTAGATTCTTATTCCGATCCAAAACTATCACTTCCTTTGGCTCAAGTTTTTTCTCATAACTTTGAAACTCTTTCGCTTTCGTTGACGAAATTGTTTCAACAGTTTGTGAAATATTCCTACAATTTGTGAATGAATTATCGAAATTATTTTCATCACTATTTTCCTCATTTGTTTCATAGAGTCCTCTAATCTAAGAAAATAAAGAAAAAAGTTTTGTTTGGATTTCAGAAACAAATTTCTCAATTCATTACATAATTAATTGAACGGAAGAATTGAACCGTTGATTAACTGTAGATCAAAGTTTCAAAACTTCCTGTAAATGTTGGNTAGTTTCGGATCGGAATAAGAATCTAAACGAAAACAATGTGAGCCGAGAATTTGCCAACAATTGGCTCAATAAGAACTCTGTTTAGAGAGAGAGTTTGTAATAATTATAACTCAATAACTGTTTTGGATATCATTAGAGAAATATTTGGAAAATATGGTTCATATGTCTCGACAAACAAACTATAAAAATATGGTTTCAATCGCTAATTAATGTCATTAAAAGCGATTAAAATGAAAACAAAATATTCAAATTTAAATAAAGCTTTAAAGCAATTAACAAAAAAGCGAGAAATTAAATAAAGTATTAATAAAATGGGATTAATATGGGATTCAATGGTAAAGAATACGTGTATTCATAAAAGCTATGAAAAACAGATAACAAAAAGTAGTGATAAGTACTAAATAGATATGAATACTGTATTGAGAATTCATTGAAATGGTTTCGTTATTTCACTGATAAAAGTAGTTATCAATGCATTGAATGCAAAGAAATGAAATCCAATGAATCATTGGATCCATTAAATGGGCCCAAAGTTAAAGCAATCGGTGGTGAGGAGGAAGGGATGGGCGTTGAGGACGACTGTGCGGGACATACCTTCAACTGTTTGGCACACTTGAGGACCTGCGAGAGCCGATGGTTGGCAACAGTAATACAACCCCTGTATATAAACTCAATCAAAGAGCGGACGTCTTCGTAGTGCATGTCCTTCACGACAATCACCGGATACTGACTCGGGTTTGGGATTCGGGCCAACACTTGCCGGAAGTATGACGAGAAGGCAGAGAGTATTAGTTTATGCGCTTTGATATACTGGCCGTCATCGAGAGCTATGGTCACATCCGTATGGGTCTGACTGTCAAAGAGTTCCGAAATGAATCGATGCAACTCTTTCTGATGGTCTGGCAGTCGGAGCACAAACGCCGGCACCGATGAGGACTGACCGCCCGTTCCCGTCGACGGCGACGATAGCGACCCATTGGATCCGTTGGCCATCGGTTTGGACATCAAATGCTGTTTGCCGTGAATCGAGTCCACTATTGAAGCCATCAATGATTGTATGCAATATTATATGTGTTATCAATTAAAAAAGTGAAAAAGTTTTATATAGTTTTGAACTGTATTTTCAATATTTGTTTATCAACTGAATTGCTATTACGAGAGCACTACTAATGCTGTGATAACTTTGAGCAGAAAATTGCACTAAATTTCACTTCACTTACACTTCAATATAAACCAAACATTAGTTTTATTGGAGATATAAATGTAATATTCAATGCATTTAATGTACGACTCAATCGTCGACTCTCTCTCTCTCTCTCTCTCTCTCTCCCCAACATTTACAGGAAGTTTTGAAACTTTGATCTACAGTTAATCAACGGTTCAATTCTTCCGTTCAATTAATTATGTAATGAATTGAGAAATTTGTTTCTGAAATCCAAACAAAACTTTTTTCTTTATTACTGCACGGATCGAAGCCATGATATGTGAAGTTACAGTTCTTGCAGAAGGCGTAACCGCAGGCCGAACAGTGGGCTAACGACGAGTCCGGGTCGCCGATCACAACAGTGCCGCACGTCTTTCGGGGACAGTAATACACGTCAGACATCGTCCCAATCAATGTCTCTAACATTATTTTGTCGTATTTCTTGAATAACTCTTCGGAGACGAGATCGCGGATCACATTAGGCGGCGCTGATGTCTGGCACTCGGTTTCCGGGCATTTCAATTGATTCACTGTTCCCTCATTGATAAGAGTCGTGAAATAGTTTGCGATACAATTCTTGCAGTTTATGTGAAGACAGGGAAAGACAACACAATCTTCGCCCAAATGTGGCGAAAAGCAGATATTACACGTAATGTAACTCTTATTGAATGTCTCTTTACGTTTGTGTTCGTTGTAATCAATTAAATATGTGATCAATTGTCTACCCATTAGATCACAGACAGCCCTTCTATCATGGGTTCGGTTGCCTTTGTCTAGACTGGGTTTAAAGACAACCGTTCGTCTCTCTCTGTTAGAAACCACTGCTTTGGACAGAGTTGTGGTCAACGCTTTGGATTCACTTTTAGTGATCATTAAGGGTTTAACATTACTAAGCAAAGTGATGTCCAGTCGAGTGGTCTTCAAGTAATCCATGACATCGTTTTGTAAGAATGAAAACCACGTAAAAAGGATTTCCATTTTCGACTCTTTCCACAAACTCTCCAATTTATAGCAAATAATTTCTATAGAAATAAAACATTTATTTATTATTTGTATTAAAAATAATGAAACCTATAGTAAAACAAACCTAATTTCATGATATCCATCCATTTGCAAGAAATCAAAAACTTTGGATTTGATTTCAAAGGATACTCTTTTGGTAATTCAAAATACAACTCAATGGGAGGCAAGTGTTGAACCAAAAACTCTTCAGTATTGCTCTCACTTTTGTGATCAGTTCTGGCGTTATATATCTCGTAGAAGACTGTCATTCCGTTGGCGTTGAGAACGGGTTCCGCCAAAAACCTTCCTTTCATTTCTTTTTCATCAATTGTTAGAATGTTTTCATCGAAAATACTCTTAAGAGCTGTTATTTCATCTAATTTTTGCTGCAAATACTCGTCGACTGAAGAATTTTCGCTCACAATAGAATCACAAGAGGTATTGCCTTTGGAGTTGTTATCACAGTTTGGATCACTTCTAACTGATTCCCTTTTATCCACTTCTGGCTCATCAGAACCATTGTGTCTCTCATTACCACGTCTTCTGTGATAGTCATAGGAACATTCGCTCCCACTTTTGGCACTCAATCTTACGTCTGGTCTTCGGACTCTTCTATCGGAGTTCCGATCATATGATCTGAAAATGTGTTCATAATATTCATTGAAATAATAATTCAAACAATGGTAACAAATACTCACTTATAATGACTTGAATTGTAATAAGTTTTTGAATGATTATGTGTTCTTTCATTTGAGTTCAGACTACTCTTGGCTTCAGTCTTGAGAGCTGTCTTGAGATCTGTCTTGAGTTCTGTCTTGGATTCACTCCTGTGTTCAGTCTTCTCCGGTTTCCTTTCATCGTATGCCTTATCCATACGATTAGGTCTTTCATTGCGATAATCTCTGCTGTAATCGTTTGAATACCGATTATCTGTTTTGTGAACACTTTCTGGCCTTCGGTTGCGATCAGAATATCTTAAAAACGAGATAATAGTGAAAACACGTGACAATGAATGACACACTCATCACAAACCTATTGGAGTTGTGGTAATAGTAATCATGTGAGCGATAGTGTGGTCTTCGGCGGTAGTGGTCGCTGTGCTCGCGATTATTATCCCTGAAAGTGGTGTGACTTGTGTTGCCATCGGTTGCGGTCATAAAGTAGTTCATGTGCTTAACGTTATTGTTATTATTAACGCATTGTTTAGCGATCGTTGAGTCACTTCTTGCGGTCGTATTTGATCCGACATTAGAGTCGGAACACGTCTTCAAATCGTTTGCG